AGAAAGAAGTAAAGAGGGAGAGAGAGGGTGAATATCAGAATGGAAGTGTAGATGGAGGAAGAAGAGAGGTGGAAGTAGAAGGGGTGATCAATTATTGGGCGCAACAATGAGCAGCGTGTAACACTACTAGTGTTTGCTACTCCCTCTGTCGTTTTTAACACTACACTAGTAGTGTAGTGTTACTAGTGTAGTGTTAAAAACGTTCTTATATTTTGGGACGGAGGGAGTAGTTAGCAGCGTTCATGATAATGAAACGCCTCTAGCTTTTAGGGCCCACATGCTGGCTAGTGTAGGGTGTCAGACTCAGACATAACAGTAGCAACGGTCGACTACTGTAACGCCCCGAGACCGATGTGACAGGTGTCTTCCAGTTATTCGCTGTTGTTGCCTTGTCGTTTCTTGCGTGTCACGCATTCCATATCATGTTATCATGTGCATTTTATTTGCATACGTGTTTGTCTCATGCATCCGAGCATTTTTCCCATTGTCCGTTTTGCATTCCGTTGCTCCTATGTCCTCCGGTGTCCCTTTCTACCTCTTTTCGTGTGCGGGTGTTAAACATTTTCGTATTGGACTGAGACTCGTCATGCGGCCTTGGTTTACTACCGGTAGACCACCTGTCAAGTTTCGTTCCATTTGGATTTCATTTGATACTCCAACGATTAACCGAGGGATCAAAAGGCCTCGTGTGTGTTGCAGCCCAACACCCCTCCAAAGTGGTCCAAAACCCACCTAAACCTCCTCCATCATCTAGAGCGTTCGATCACGATCGCGTGGCCGCAAACCGTGCTCAATTTGGACTCTCCTAGCTCTCTCTATCTATAAATATGTGGCCTCCCCCGAAAAATCCGCGGACGAAACCCTAATCCTCCTCCTTTCTCGCCCGTCGGACATGTCCGTCCCGGACGGACGAAATCGCGCCGCCGCCCTCAGCCAACCACGCGCCGCCACCTCACCGCCCTCTCTCTCCTCCCGCCGCCGAGCCCGCCGGCCCAGATCTAGCCCGCGCGGAGCCGAGCCGGCCCGGGATCCCCGCCGCCATGCCCATGCGCGTCGGCTCGACAACGCCGCCGTCGTCCATCCCCGCTGCCATGCCCATGCGCGCCGGCTCGACAACGTCGCCGTCGTCCATCCCCGCCGCCTGCAGCGCGCCATCCCGCCGCCTCTGACCATCGCCGGCGCCGCCGCAGGACCTCGCCGCTGCTCGCCACCGCGCCGCCATCGTCGTCCTCCGCTGCCGCACCTCTTCACCGGCGGCGCCCGCGCCCCAGCTCACCGTCCGGCCACCGCCTCCGGCCGGATCCGCCAGGTCCGGTGAGATCCGCAGGATCTCCAGCCACCGCGGCTCCATTTCCGGCGATCCTCGACGTCCGCTGCTACAGAACCCCGGCTGGATCCAGATCTGGATCGAATCTCGGTTGACTTTTTCGGTCCCAACCCTAACATTTTTGCATTCTTCCACGCATCATAACTCTGTCATCGTGGCTCCGATTCGTGCGTGTAGCATATCAAAATGTTCGTCTCGACGAGTACATCATTTCATCTCATTGCATAATTTTCATTTCAGCTCATCTTGATGCCCGAAATGCTGTTGGAAGAGGGCTATGTGATGATTATTTCAGATCTGTTTCAAC